GAGCAAAACATGAGAAGTAATTCTTTTGCTCTATTCCATACTGATTAGACCGCAACTGGAACATTGTGTCCAATTCTGGATATCACATTTCAGGGAAAATGTGGACAAACTGGAGAAAGCCCAGAGAAGAGCAACAAAAATATTCAAAGGTCTAGAAAGCATCTAGATATATTTTAGAAATGTCTGTCAGCCATAGAATCTATTTGCTCATGAACTCCTCCTAAACATTAAGAGCTAGTATGCAGTTTCCTATTATCCTAGCTTAAGCAAGATCAGGGTTTGGTTGCATCATCAGAAGTGCTGGGAATGGGACTGTGTTCCATATCACGGAAAGTGAGCAGGCACAGAGAGGAGGGACACGATACTGAGTGGCCACTTGAGGGTAGTGAGCCCACAGGGGAGAGCTATATGCAGAGTGGCTACTGGGGGCAGCCACACTACCACCAGAGTAGCCAGGAGGACGGGGGCTCTGCCACCAGACCAAATAAGTAGCCCCCTGCCGCAAACCCTCCCCCCTGTGAGTGGGGAGAGAGGCAAAAAGCCCCTGGTGACCAGGGAAGAGGGAAAGGCCTTGCTAGCCACGGGGGTAGGGGAAGGAGGAAAAAGACCTGGCAGATGGGACCCCCTGCCCTGAGCCCCTCCTTAGCCCCCAATCCTCACTCTCCCTCCATACGCACACCCACCACCTGCCTAGCTTCTCCCCAACACACATCCCCAAGGCCCTGCCCTGTTTCCTGCACCCCGCACACCACCAGTCCCCTGCCATGAAAGACCCTGGCAATACTGGGTAAGTCTTCTAGAGATCTGTGTGAGAAGATTAAAAAAACTGGGTTTGTTTAGTCCGGAGAAGAGAAGACTGAGCAACAGACATGGTAACAGTTTTCAAGTACAAAAAAAAAAGGTTGTTGCAAGGAGGAGGCAGAAAAATTGTTCTTAACCTTTGAGGGCAGGACAGGAAGCAATGGACTTAAACTACTGAAAGGCAGTTTGGGTGTACATTAGGAAAAACTTCCTGTCAGGACAGTTAAGCACTGGAATAAATTGCCTAAGGAGGTTGGAGATTTTAAGAGAGCAGGCTAGACAAGCAAAGGGATGGTCTAGTTAATATACTAGAAGACCTCTTAAAGACCCTTCCACACCTACAGCTCCCCGAGTCTAATGTTGTTAAGAGATGGCAGAGCTTTCCCTCTCGCAGACGTAAACGAGCAGATCTCATGGTGGAAGAATGGAGCAAGGATTTGGAGCACTAAGTGGGGGGAGAACTCATAGAATACTAAAACTGGCAGGGACCTTGAGAGATCATCAAAACCAGTCCCCTGCCCTCACAGTAGGACCAAGCACCATCCAGATCATCCCTGACAGGTGTCTGTCCAACCTGCTCTTAAATATCTCCAGTGATGGAGATTCCACAACCTCCCTAGGCAATTTATTCCAGTGTTTACCCACCCTGACAGTTATGAAGTTTTTCCTAATGTCCAACTTAAACCTCCCTTGCTGCAACTTAAGGCCATTGCATCTTGTCCTATCAGAGGCCAAGGAGAACAATTTTTCTCCCTCCTCCTTGTAACACCTTTTTAAATACTTGAAACCCGCTATCGTGTCTCCTCTAAATCTTCTCTTTTTTAAACTAAACAAGCCCAATTCTTTCAGTCTTCCCTCATAACTCATGTTTTCTAGGCCCTTAATAATTTTTGTTGCTCCTCTCTGGACCTTTTCCAGTTTCTCCACATCTTTCTTGAAATGTGGTGCCCAGAATGAACACAACACTGCAATTGAGGCCTAATCAGAGCACAGCAGAGTGGAAGAATGACTTCTTGTGTCTTGCTCACAACACTCCTGTTAATGAATCCCAGAATCATGTTTGCGCTTTTTTTTTTTTTGCACAACTGCTGACTTGGATTTAGCTAGTGGTCCACTATTACCCCTAAATCCCTTTCTGCAGTACTTCTTGTTAGACAATCACTTCCCATTCTGTATGCGTGAAACTGATTGTTCCTTCCTAAGTGGAGTACTTTGCACTTGTCCTTATTAAACTTCATCCTATTTATCACAGTCCATTTCTCTAGTTTGTCTAGATCAACAGGTAGTTGGTGTTGTCCAATTCACTAGTGCGTTTGTTATTCAGTGGTGCAGAATGCTACATAGTACACATTTTGTACGCATATTACAAATTGGATGTATGGGAAAATGTATGGTATAATTGCAGGGTTTGCATGCATGCGAATCTACACCAGGTGACCGGGCACACAGCCCTAAAAGAAAGCCATACCGTAAGCACTGCCGGTGATGCTGTTGGTGGGGATGGCATGCTTCCCATTTTGTGTCACTGCCCGAACAGGTAGCTGATGTTGTCCAATGGTCACTGGAGTTGCCTGTTGAAGGATGGTAACAGTTTGCCCTGGGACACCTTGAGCCATCTGACTGGCAACTGTTTGGATGACTCGACTGGCAGTAGGTATTGTGGCAAACGCAATTGTTGGCTTCTCATCAATGCCTGTTTGGATATTAAATAGAAATGCTAATCATTCACCATGAGCAGGCCTCCTTTTCAGTAATATGCTAGCAATCATACCCCAGGATTAGAAATATGAAAGTACCCAAACACACACAGCTCAAGTGTCCAGTAGCACCAAATTATCTGCCTTTGATGAACTCCACAGATCCCTCTCTCTCGCATGGAAATGGGAAGCTTCACTTCTCAGGTCCATGCAACTTAATGGACTTCAAAATAAGGAGGGGGTGAGGATGCCTGACTGCTATGGGCTGGATCCTGGGAAATGCGAAGAATGCAGAAATCTTTACACAGGGTCAAACTCGACAGGGGACACTTTCTACAGGCTGACTGGCACAATGGGATTAGCACTGAGAAGGCAGCGTTTCATTCATCTAGCTCATTAGAAGAACACTGCAATGCGGTCACAAAAAATGTCATTTGGGGGCGTAAAAAACGTTTTCCCTGTCATTCTTTTCCTTATCCACATGTTACTATTAAGAATGTTAAAATGCATTTAATGTGGTGTGTACCTGCTGAAATTTTCAGTGGGTACATGTTTACATGCAGGGAGGAGGAAGGAAAGTGGCTCTACCAAGTTGGTACGTGCGGGGACCCCGCCTGCTTAAAAGCCAGCACTCTGTGAGCACCAGCTCTCATCTCCCCCGCACTGCTTCCTCTGATACAGTGTGTGTGTGTGTGTGGGGGGGGGGGGGGAAAATGCAGCTCTGTGGGATCCAGTATGTTCAGGGAGCTGGCTTAAAGTTATGGGCACGGGGCCTGCCGTGGACAAGGGCTGCTCCCTCAGAGCCTGGGAGCCAAGAGCCAGCAGCAGCCCCAGCCCCCCAGGGAACTAGGGAGCTAGCCTTAACCTGGATCCCGCTTTAGTCCGTTAACCAGTTAAACGTTAGGTTAACATAACATTTAACTGATTAACTGGGATTTTACATCCCTGGTTACTACTCTGGCATGGTAATTGCCTGTGAAAACTAGACTAAGAGTTCCCTGCCTGTACACTAACTACCCTGAGTCTCAGCTACCCAGCAGGGAAGGAACTGTGAAAATATCACACAGCCCCAGTGTTTGCGAAGTTAGGGACAACTCGCCTTTATGCCTACACTTGGATGAGATCACAGAGGAAGCAGTCCCTGCCAATTTTCACTGGCCTTTGTGCACAACAACTTTCAACTAACTGTGGGGGACGGAGGAAGCAACCAGCAGAAAGGGAAACAGTCTGGACTGATGCTGCTGTTTCAGTGTGGCAGTGTTCACTCCTGCAGGTTAACTGATCAGCTCAACAGGCAAGGACAGCTATCAGGAAACTTCTTGCCTCAATGACCAATCCTGTCCCTTTGCTGCCCAGCCGGAGGCTGCAACTGAGATTTCTCCCTGCAGCTGACTCGACTCATTGCCTGTCCTCTCCAGCCAACACTGAAAGCAGGAGAAAAGGGGAGATGCCTGCCTAAGCAGGCAATAAGGGAAAGAAACTGATCTAGTAGGACAGGACTCTGACACTGCCTCTCATCTCAGCCTCTACCTTCTCTTCCTGACCTTAACATCAGAGAAATAAGGGAGGCACGGGAGAATAGAAGAGGAGAGTTCTGGTAGCACATCAGGCTGGAAGAGGGGCATGAAGAAGAGTGGAGGAGGAAGCAGCAGAGACAGGAGAGATAAGAGAGGGAGAAGGCAGATACAGTAAAACTCCAACTGTCCGACATCCAGTGGTCTGGCACCACCTGGAACCTGCAAGTGCTCCAGCCAGCCGGACAATTGGAGCTGCGCCGTGCAGCTTCCTCAAGACCGCTGCTGCCGCTGCTGAAACTGACGAGCTGTGGACCTGGGGAAGCGGTGTGAAGCAGAGCAGCTGGGGTGCTGCCGGCTCGGTCCTGCAGCGCTGCACCTCACCAGCACCTGGTTCACCCCACACCGCGCCGTTCCCCCCCCCAGCCTCCCTCTCCCAAGACCCGTCACAGCCCCCCTGCCAGAGTTGGTCCTGATACTCCGGCATATCCGATAATCCAGCACCCTCTGGGTCCCAAAGGTGCCGAATTATCAGAAGTCTGCTGTAGTAGGAAAGGCAAAGGGGCAGGAAAGATGGCAAGATGTGACAAGGAAAAGGAGATGAGAGTCTGGAAGAGGGAAATGAAGAGTGTACTTAGAGAAGGCAGAGGCGGGGGGGGGAGGGGGGAGAGAGGAGAAAAGGATCTAGGGATGGCAGAGAGTCAGACTCACTCTCCACTAAAAAGGAGCCTGATGCATGTTAAAAAATTAGGTCGACCTAGCTCCATCTGCCAGAGAATGCTGCAGCGAAGGCGAGAGAAGCACAGAAGAGATCTGTTCCAGAAACTTCAGGGGCGTTTGAAGGCAGTCAAAAGCAAGTTAACACCAAAGTAAATGCTGAGTGTCTGATTACTATAGGAGAGAATCTTTGTCTCTCCCTCTCTGCCTCATCCCAGCTTGTAAGCAAAATTTTTTTTAAACCACCCTTCTACATATAAATATTCAGTTAAACCTACTGTTCTTATTGTGCTTGTACAGTAATTGTACATTTGCACAATAATATCATGCAATTAGGAGAAAAGCTGCAGAAAAGGAGGTAATGCCCAAATGAAAGCAGACAGGCTGAGAATGATCCTTTTATAGAACATTAGGTATTTTCAAGGTTTAGCTCACTTAAGTCCACTAAGGCCAAAGTTGCGGGTTTCGAAAGTTATAAACTGATCCTTATAATAACTGGCTTTTGCAGAGTCTTCTAATCACAAACACTATATGCACTTCTACAAAATTCATTTCCAGAGGCTTACACCGATCCTCCTTTGGGATATATTTTACATACCCTTAGAAGAGGACACAGAGAAGACACAGAGTCCTGCTTACCATCAATGTCACTTTGAAACAAACCAATTCAGTCTTCTACGTGCGGGCTTTCAAAACAGAACAGCATATCTTGGGGTGGTGAGAATTTTGTTTTGGGGGTAGTGATGCATTTTGAAAATTTACCCAATTGATGATAACGGGCTTCAGTCCACATGCATAATGTAGGTGGACACCAGGACTAGAATAAATATTCACAACTATATGTTCAGCTTGGTTGCCAGAAAAATTCTAGCGAGATTTTTACTTACTAAAGGCCACACAGAGTTAAGTTCTCCTACCTACTGCTAGGCAGACCTAGCGGGAAAGCTCTTACCCAATTTGAATTGTATCTTATGACTGACCTCTTTTGTCAAGGGCTAAACACACAGGGAGTACTACAGGCATGCAGAAAACCCCCACAAGTCCAATAAGTGTGTGTTCAAATCTTCTTTTGTCAAGTAGGGAGGGAAATGAAACTGACTACCTCGATGATCAGCAGCCAAATCCAACACTGTTCCTGCTGCTTCGTGAACACCGCCTGCTGGGCCCGGATTTGTCAGTATGTATCCATTAGCGGAGCTGGAGGAGGAGGTTACAACCCTGACCATTGTAACTGTAGGAGCTTGCTGCACTACATGGATTGCATGACCAGAAGGCTGCTGCGAAGTCACTATTGGCATGTAAGCTACCGGCTTTGCCATGAGAGTGGACTGCCGGGGGGGAACAGCCATGATCACCGGCTGGGCACTGACAGGTGATCCTGAAATGGAAGAGGCACGTATGTTAGTGCTAGAGACAAGAAGGCATCAATTCATGTATTTAGACAATTGTACATAATGCTGAGCAGCATTATAATATTTGGAAAAGATTTAAAGTTGTTCAGACAATGTTCAATCTTGTTTAGATTGCAAAGCCAGGCACGCGAAAGTTGGAAATACATTTGGAGTGTAGATTTTTGAAGGCAACGTGTACACACACAGTGCAGTGTTATAAATGGGTTACAGAAAATCATGGGGCTCACACAGCCCTAACATCATCACCCCGCAGTTTCACTTTTCCCAGCATACAAGTGAAACTCTATCCCTGCTCAGTGCTTTTTAAATTATCGGGTCACAAGGAACTCTGGGTGCAGACAGCAGCCACAAGGAGCAACCGACCTAAATGGCTGAAGAGGAGAGAGGACAGATCCAAATCCACAGGTAGCCTAACTCTCTCCACTATCTATCTTAGCCCATCACCATGAAGCGGAAGTTAATAAGACAGATGGTCAAAAGCCATGTAACCCTTTTCTACCCCCAATAGCTAAATATGGAGAGATGAGGCCTTTATTTGAAAATATTTAACACCCTCCCACTACAATGAAATCATCTTCTGCAAAGTAGGGATGACATACCAGGTGCACTTTGTGAATACCGATACTCTGGAACAGAGGCTAATTTTGACGCAAAATCATGGTCATGTGGAATGGGTGAACCCTCCCTGGATAGGCACTCGGGAGTCTGTAGGCCACTAGAGTGAGGGGACAGCAAGCCGGGATGAGTAGGAGACGCAGGGGCACTCCTGAAACACAAACCAGTGAAACAGACAAATGAGTATATGCTTGCCAAGAAGTCATAGCAGGGTACCAAAGGGATTTCCAAAATCATCTTTTCTTCCACAACCTTAAGAAACCATTCTTGTGCTTTCTCTACCAACACAATCCCTCCAACGAAGCCTGTAGTATGCATCTCAAGCACCAATGCCACTCTTAAAAGGAAAAATCTGAATCTAAAATGGGCACATTCAAATGGATTTTAAGAAAAAGTTTTGGTTGGTTGGTTGGTTTTTGTTTTTACAATCCTGTTTTTGATGATCCCTTTGATCAATACATGCTAACATTTAAACAAAACACTTTATGAGAGTGTTTCTGTTCCTCTGTGAGCTGGGGTATGAAGCCAAGGCGCCTGTCCCACTATTTTGGTCTCGAGGGGCAACAGTGAAACTCCAATTACTGCCAATTCACAAAGTACACTGAAGAGAAATTTATTTCTGACTTATTTTAAGTTACAGGAATTGCAGGCGTCATTTGTAATTACAGCAGATGCAAAGTTTTCATGCAAATGTGATTTTCAAGCTGTAAGTGAGACAAAGATTGGGAATTCCCAAGAGTACAAGCAGCATTTAAATGAGTCACTGTTCATACACCCACGAGAACAGCTACAAGCCCCGAATTTCCCCTCTGACCAGGGAAAGTAACCAGCGACACTCTAGAGTGAGTCAATTGAAAAGTTTAAGAGTACAAAGAACATGGAATCCTCAAGCGATTACCTCCACAACACTTCCAAACCAGTTAGCCAAACGGATAAAATGTTTTGAAATCACTTCCAGGACTAGCAGCCTAGCATAAAATATTTTAACAGAGGTTTGTGGATTTTTAATTCCTAAGTCTAATAAATGATTTCTAACATTACACTCACTAGGGAGAGATGTTTAGCTATAGAATCTCACTGAATAAGTTAACTAGATATAACTGAACAGTGAGCGATCTTGATTTTATCTGTATTCATTAAAAATTCTACGCAGACATAATTGTATTATCTATAGGACTCACTCTTCCTTTAACATTCAGTAAACAATCTCTCTCTCACACACCCTAGTGTGTATGCCACCTTTTTATTATTATTTCCCCTTATTTTCACCAAATTGTGGACAAATTTGGTCCTTGCAAGGGCAAATTTCATTTAGTCCAATAGTACATTCCTTCTACTCCACTGTTGACAATCAAGTCAAATGATGCCATCTTCTCTAAAAAGCCAGTTTAAACACTACAGATTAATCCTCTCAAATCCGGGACTCTCTGGTCCAGCAACATCCATGATCCAGCAGGACCACGGATCCATGATGTTGCCAGACCAGAGAGTCCCAGAGGTCAGGAGTGGCAGCAAGCCGGAAGAATTTAGGACTGGGAAGCTGCAGCAAGGTCAGCAGCAGCTGAGCCAGGCAGTGGCTGGGGAGCCCTGGCATCAGTGGAGGCTAGGTGTGGGGGGAACAGGGAGCCCTGTCCTGGCCAGGGAACCCCTGACATTAGCCTGGACAGCTGCAGAACCACAGGCCAGGGTGGCCCGGGAACTCCACCGAATCACCCAGCAACAGTGGGGAAGCATCAGCAGGGCCAGTGGCATCCAAGCGGGGCTGGCAGTGGCCAGGCGGCCCAGCAGGAGAACTCTGAGGAACTCTGCCGGCAGCAAGCAGGGCTGCAAGATGGGATCCCCAGGGAGAGGAGCTAGGGAATGGGGCAGCCAGCAGGGGAACACTGACCTCTCCTGATCCAGCAAACTCCCTGGTTTGGGACCACTTGGATCCCGGATCAGGGAGGTCCACCCTGTAGAAGTGATTTCTCCTGTAACCTAATCCACATGTGGGCCCAACACTTCTGAAATGAATGGCACAGTTTTGCAGACTAAGCCATTTACTTCTGTGATAATTGTTCTGTATCACTACAAAAGGACACCAGAACAGATATACTAATACAGTGATCTTTTTTTAACCCTAGCAATAATTCCGAAGCAGTTTCCAGAATGCAGTTCAAGGAATATCTTGGTCCTAATTACCCTTTCAGACTACCTAGAGAAAGACTTGTCCTGCTGTATTTCAGCCAATAAATTAATTTGACAAATTTGGAACAAAAATAAAAAAGTGACCTGAACTTACCTGGAGGAGAGAGGCCCAAAAGGCGTTCGAAAACAGGACACGCCTCTCTGTCTCCGTTTTCGGAATGCCTGTTCAACTAGCTTGGCTTCTGAGGCAGGGTCGATTCGCCAAAAGGAACCTTTCCCAGGCTCCTCTTGGGAGCGTGGAACTTTGATAAAGTAACGATTTAAGGAGAGATTGTGCCGAATGGAGTTCTGCAGGAAGCAAAGAAATTAGTTTATTACTATGTGGTGTGAAAATGCCCAAAACAGATAAACTAGGTTTCACAGACCAGAAACCTAACATTCAACCCCTTTAGAATCTCTGTCACAAACAGTAATAAGCCACCCAACTACCAAGACTCACCAGAAGAATGGAAGATAAGAAGAAAATCTAAGTCACAAATACAAAATGTTCATTAAACTACAGAGGAAGAGAAGTTTGCTTGACACTGTACGGTTACCCGCCCCTTAGAAACAACTCCTAGAATGAGTGAGGACAGTAGCTCTTTCACTGCAAAAAATACAGGGAGTGGAGCTTTGGGAGTCGGGAGGAGAGGGGAGAGAGAAGAGATGTATATTTGTAAAACATTTAGTGCACACCTCAAATATGGCTTTTTGTTATCATGTGGAAAATTATGAGAGGTTGGGCTGCAATGTCTACCACTAAATTAATCACATATGCGAACATGAGCCACTAAAGACTGCAATAATCAAACACACTGCAATAATCAAAGCAGGACAGTGATTTTTAAAAAAACTAGACTGACTAGATGTTTGGAAGGTTTTTGATCCTCCCCCTCCGCAATGAGATCTCTTTTGGCCTGGGCTTTGATAACTTCTGTATTTTAGCAATGTTTAGTTCCACCTTTTCCTTCCATGTTTCTACTATCTGATCTTAACTACATTTTTTATAGGCCAACAATTTAAAATGGGATTGTTCTTGTACCTGCTGCAACCATCACAATTCATTATTTACAGGCTCATTTGTTAGGAAACCCCAAATTTCCTTCAGAAAGACTGTAAGGCCTCCCGTATTGTGTGTGGTGACAAATCACATAGGGTATGTCTAGATGACATGGCTCCGTCGACGGAGCCATGTAGATGAGTTTACTAGACATAGGAAAATGAAGCGGCGATATAAATAATTGCTGCTTCATTTACATCAAAATGGCCGCCGCGCTGTGCTGATCAGCTGTTTGGCGGCACAGCGGGGCAGTCTGGATGCTCCGCGGTCGACAACGAAAGCCTTTGTCGACCGCTCCATTATGCCTCGTGAAATTAGGGTGCCTGAGCTGAGGCCCAAAGTAGTGGATGAGCCTGTCCTCCCGCCCCCAATTCTTGTCCCACTAGCTGCTGGCGAGTGGCCAAGCAAAGGACTGCAGTTTGCCCCGGAGGGAGTGGCTAGACTAAGTGGTACAATCCACTAGCACAGGGCTGGACTGAGGCCTGGCAGTTCTCCTAGAATGCAAACAATAACAGTTGAGCAGTCCCAAAGGGAGAAGTTTGTAGAGCATCCTTCTCCTAAATAACGGACTATAATCAAGATTTTTCAAGGGTTAAGGAAGATGGAGAGAAATAGGCATGGGGCAAGAAGAGGAGGCTGATGAAGTGGCTGCTGGTAGCAAAGCAATGGAATGAAATGAAAATGGGATGGCAATCAAGTCAAAGATGTTTCTAGAGAGGCCAGTGTGGTGTGATAAGCGAGGTAAAGGATGGACATTAGGAAATCAGAGACCCACGAGAGCACGGGGAATGTTTCTGTAGCACAGACTTTACAAACACTGTCCAAAAAACAAAAAGCTGAAGAGATGTTATTAAAACTGAATTTTCTACATTGCCTGGAACAGCTTCCCACTACCCCAGAGCCCTGATCCCTCACCAAATGTGTTTTCTTTTTGCATAAGCACTTTCATAGGAATTTCAAGATTTGTAGGTGCCAGGAACTCACCTGCCAGCCTTTGTCAGCAGTCCTGTAATATGGATAATGCTTGGTGATGTGGGCATAGATCCCACTTAGTGTTAATTGCCTGTCTTGGGCTGAAGATATTGCCTGCACAATTAATTGAGCATATGAATAGGGTGGTTTGGACTCATCCTAAAAAAAGAACACAACAGAAGAAGATTAAACTTCAAAGTAAGATTCTTATGCTTAAGACCTTTCCAAAGTCATGGTTCCTATGACTATGAAATTGACAAAAAATGATTTTAAAAAACAACAAATAGTCTGGTAGCACTTTATAGAATAACAAATGGTATCATGAGCTTTTGTGGGCACAGGCCACTTCTTCAGATGACCGGAGTTATGAGTAAGGGATATGAAAACTCGAAATTTCATTATTTCAGTTATTTAAATCTAAAATGTCATGGTGTTGAATAGTAAGGGCCCTGATCCCAAAAGGTGTAGCGGGAGAGTGATAGTTATTGTAGGAGACTGTGGTACTGCTACCCTTACTTTTGTGCTGCTGCTATTAGTGACAGCACTGTCTTCAGAGCTGGGCACCTGGCCAATAGCTGCCACTATCCAGCTCTGAAGGCAGCACAGATGTAAGCATAGCAATACTGTGACCCTTTTTGGGTCTGAATTTGAGAAGAGCTGGTCTCCCCTGTGAACTCTGTATAGTATAGGCACAAACAAACAGATTTCATGGTCCATGTGGTGTTTTTCATGGACATGAATTTAGTAAGGCCCTACTTATGCTGGAGTTTACATACAGAACTTTCTACCAAACAATATTTTGTGTTGTAAAAAAGGTTCCAAAGGTTTGTTTTTAAACTTTTCCAACCAGTTTTGATTTTAGGCACTAGCACCAAGCATGACTTGGTTCTCCTCTGCCCTCTCCAAGAGGAACCCCTCCTTTCTAGAATCTGAAGAAGAAATTCACTAGCAAGGCTTATTTTATTTCCAGTTCCTCACATTGCTCCATCAGTGCATCTCTATCAAAAACAGCTACTGTGGCTTAGGAGAGAATTCAATCTTCTATCCAGTATTATGCTCCCTCACTAGATTCTAAACCTGGCATTACCAAGAAAGAAACTATATCTTCAACTTGGATATAAGGTCACTTCATCAAGATTGAATTCCCTGCTTATGATTTATTTGTTTTAAAGCTAATCCTCTCTACACTGCTTTCCTCACCTCATCTCTGAACTGCAGGCTGGTCCATTCAGCAACCTCTTCAAGGAAGGGACCCTGTCTTCCACTCTTCCCCCCACCCCTTCACTGTATGTTAAAAAGTGTTGTATACATCAGTGGAGCTGTTAATTAAAGGAGAAAAATGAAATGCCTTGGTATTAATACCCTTCCAATATGTAGGTTCTTAAGGGAACACCCACATGTAAGGCTTCATGGTCCATCAAAAAAGACAGATGCATGCAATTTGACCTTTTAAGTAAATCCAGAAAATAGATCTGGGCAGCTAACCTAGCAGAGATAGCCACAAGCAAGTGACTGACACCAGCTTCCACAGTACTCTCAAGTATCCCAAGAGAAATACATAGCACACGTGTACAAGGAGTCAATTATCTTTAGACTTGTTTAACTACACTGTACTGCCAGGCCTCAAAGCCTCCCCAAGCACTGTTGGGAAGATAATGTTTCTCTGAACCTTTGGACTGTCCCCGCCAGATGCATCTGCCTGCTGCTCTGATGCTGCTTTTGCTGCGTACTCTGCTGCCAGCTGTAGGTCCGACGTAATGTTCTGGACAAGGCGATATCCTGAGGATCCAGCACCACGTGGACTGGCTGGGCAGGAGTTGGGAACACTGGAGAGGGGGGAAAGAAGAGAGAGAGATATCAATTTCCAGCTATTTATTAACAGCAACAAGCACATATACAACTCCTATTGTCCAAGGATTTCTAGATAATCGGCAAACAATTAAGAATCTACATCTGAGGAGTAGGTAGGTAGTGAACTTTATTTCTCTACATGGGTTAACCCAAAACTTTAAGACGGGTTCAATGACATGCCAAAATGATTAAATACGTCAGCTGCAGAAGTTCTGACTCCACATCACCTACTGCAGTCACTAGACAACACAATTTCAAAGCATGAAGCAGGATCACTTCCCTGTGTAGTCGCATGCAGGCTTCACTGAAAATGAAATATTTTATCAGAGTTTGGCTTTCTGGAGTAAATAAGTAATAAGTAATTAAGAGTTATTCTTCAGTCATAAACCTGGCAAATATTCTTCTCTGTCTAAGATACAGGTATTAATTGCTTAATTTCTCTACTTAAGAAAGGTCAATTACACTTTTTACAGTGTCACTGTTAAAACCATCATGACAGATGCATACACTGGAAGAGAGCTGTTCAACAACATGATGATTAATGCCAAGTAGATAAAACCACAGCTGCCTCTAAGAGCCATCTGACTCCTTAACCTACCAGCATACAAATCAATGGGAGTCACAGCAGACACAGGCAGAGTTGCCTTCAGATCAGTGTTTTTGCAGACAGGTTAGAGGAAAGAAAAAAATAATAATAAAGAGTTCTAGGACTGCCACAAGATGGCACTCGAGGAACAGTTCTGAAATGGGGAGCTTGGAACAAGGCTACAAATAAACAAGAAAGATGGGTCTAACCTGCAATACTCCTCAGACACACAAGTACACACACAGGATAAAAAAAATCATTAGCAGGACTAATCTGGAGATCACACATCTGTGATTTTTGGGAACAAGATTGCTTGAGGGGTGAGATGGGGAGTCCCAAACAGCATTCAGGTGTTGTCCCTTCTCATTCCAGGGCTGAGCAGCACAGTGAAATGAGCTCGTAGTCCAATCACTAGACTATCTACTTCTTTCCCATTAACGTACAGTCAGGATGAACAATAAGAACAGTATTTAAATATTTATATATGGGGATACCAAAAAAATGTGTATTGCAACAGCATTAAAGCAGGATGGAAAAAGAGACTCGTAGCACCCTGCTGTGGGCTTAGATAATGCTGTGACAAAGGATTCTATTCTCAGCAAAATGGCCACCACCAACAGCAAGTTTAAGTGCCCCATTTTAAAGAACAATTTCCAAATGTAGCTCTGAATGTAAACGGAGAACTACTGCTCCTCACTGCTGCTTCCTGAAAATGGCTATGTTGCTACACTCAGCACTAGGCTGGTTTATTTTAACAATGGGTTAGAGAAAGTCTTATTGGGGCAGAAAGATGCACATACACAATGGAGACACCCTGAACAGATTCACAGGATCTCAAAGATTTGTCAGTAAAAGATAACTCAAAGGTTACCTCTTCTGTCACATCCACTGTGTATCCTACTCTTAGCAGGAACATTATTATTCAGAATCTCAGGTGGAAATCTTTAGGAGCAATATGTTTTTGGTAAAGGGCCCATGGTTATGAAATTCCTGACCCCAGAGACCAGCATGAGTTCTTGTCCCACCTCTTTCTAAGTGGAATTTAAGATGCACACCTCTGCTCATGCATTCCCCCAATAAAGGATGCTACCAAATGGCCCTTGAATAGCTTCTTCCTGAAACGATCTATAGAAACATGACTTAATTGAGGGAGACAAGAAGGGCTCATTACCAGGCACCAGTGGGGCTTCTTTTCATTGTTGCAATTGGTAATGAGGACTGTGGTTGTAAGTGTCTCTGAGAGAACAAGAAATTCTTAGCTTCTTGATTTCCAGCTATGTAAACTCCCCAAAAGTAAGCTGGAGAGCTTGTTTTCCATGTTTATCTTCAGGAGTCTGTTACCTGTCAGAATGGCACGAGCGTACAAGCTATGAAACTTCACCATATCTTATTCAAAGCACAAAAAGATGCATCCATTTTTAAAAAGTATGGTTTATTCGAGAAGCTCTGACATCTCTGCTTCTTCTCTGATCTGGTTTTAGCCATTTGTGGCATACTGATACAGTGTGATCACACCTGGTTAGCAATATCAGCACAACTCTTAATTCTCAATCTCTTTCTAGTCTGCATGGGTATGTCTACACTACCCCGCTAGTTCGAACTAGCGGGGTAGTGTAGACATACCCATGCAGACTAGAAAGAGATTGAGAATTAAGAGTTGTGCTGATATTGCTAACCAGGTGTGATCACACTGTATCAGTATGCCACAAATGGCTAAAACCAGATCAGAGAAGAAGCAGAGATGTCAGAGCTTCTCGAATAAACCATACTTTTTAAAAATGGATGCATCGTTTTGTGCTTTGAATAAGATATGGTGTAGTTTCATAGCTTGTACGCTCGTGCCATTCTGACAGGTAACAGACTCCTGAAGATAAACATGGAAAACAAGCTCTCCAGCTTACTTTTGGGGAGTTTACATAGCTGGAAATCAAGAGGCTAAGAATTTCTTGTTCTCTCAGAGACACTTAAAACCAAGGAAAGAGGAATTGCTATTGCAAAAAGGGTGGAAAGGAAAGAACAGGAGCGGGAGAGAAGTTTTGGATATGTCTATGCAGCGAAAAACAACCCTGCAGCAGTTGACCCAGGCTTTGAGATTCTCTGCCATTCCTCCTGCCCACCCTTGTTTAGACATACCCAGCATGAACAAGTGTCCTAAGGGTTAAGTCAAAATTAGAGTTCAGTGTAGTTTAAAGCAACACAAAGCACAATGCAGTGATCTATCGATTCCCTAGAGTTCCTGGAATTCTCCTCACTGCCCCCACAACAGCAACTGGTCAGGGGAAGCATGCAATTGCTCACACCCTTTTAAAGAAAGAATTTTTTTTCCAGAGGTAAACAAAGGCTATTTTCCAAACACACAGCTGTTCGTATTACAAGATTAATGCAAAAAAACAAAGCCACATGGTCTAGGATAATACTGTGCAGGATATAAATATTTTGTTAAGCAAATACTAAATAGACACTGGATTTATTTTAATACTACTGTAATTTTTATTGGTAAAACTAGGCACGCTAATCTGGCTCAATTCTACACCAAACCATTGCTACGGAAGACAATTTGGAATACACCTCTTGGGGATTAGAGATGTGAACGGATAACTGGTTACCCGGAAGCTGCCAGCAAGAGGCAAAGGGCTACTCCAGTAGAGCCAGCCCCCATCCCTGCTTGGGGGCCAACAGCAGAAGCCCCATGGGCTATGGGGCTGGAATGGAGAGATTAACCTAACATTTAACTGGTTAACTGATTAACTGGGATTTTATGTCCCTATTGGAAGGTAAAATAATCTTGTAGCTCTCATTTCAAGCAACTGTAGAAAGTGATATGTAAACTACATTCGTGCATCATTTAAACACCAGTGAAAAGTGGCATTTCTAACAATTTATGAAAGGAAGCAGATGGTATATCCAACTGAAACCACATGAAAGATTTAAGTTTTATCTGTTACGTAAACCCAAGCTGGAATTTGGCCAGAGTACCAGGTGTTAATGCCCCCCCCCAGCCCCAGACATGGACCAGGAATGACTCTTTAATAAGTTCTTAAAATCTCTATTTTACATGATTATCTCATACTATACCTTCAGGAACAGTTTTCTTTATACCATGATGAAACACTGTTGTAGAATTGTCAGACCACCACCTACAGAATCACCAACCCCACTTCATTGCAGCAAATATTTTATTCAAGTTCTACTAAACCCAATCTGATTTCACTTTAAGATCAGATGAAATGACAGAAAGTCACACTAATCCCTGTCAAGGCAGGAATATCTTTGAAGTATAGGATTCATTTCAGGCTGCAGTGATTGTAAAATCTCAAAGTCAAATTTACCTTCTTGGGATTCACTAAGAGTGTTATTTAAAATCATGTCTATAGAGCTCGACACATTTAAGGCTTGTAACATCCAATAAAATAAGCATCAGCTGTAGGGATATAAAATCCCATGTAATTGGTTAACCAATTAGAGGTGGGGCTGCTTCAGAGCATACTCCCTCTGCCCCCACTGCAGCATGGCTGGAGCAGCCCCTGCCTGTGATGCACCCAGGCCAGCAGCAGATAGGGACTGCTCCAGCTTCCCAGAGCAGTCCATGCTCATTGTGGGCACCATGGGGTTGGAGTAACCCACTGCTCACAGTGGAACCAGTAAGCCTCGCCCATTAAGAGTGATGCTTACCAGTTAAGCTTTCACATCTCTAGCTGTAGTATGCTTTTCTATAGTACTTTCCATCCATGGATACTAAAGAGCTGAGCAAATGTTATCGGTCATATATAAATAATACATAAATGTGCTTGGCACTTTAATATCCATGGTTGGAAAGTCTGTATCTGAGTTAAGCAACACAGCCCGCTCTGTGTAAGTTCCATTTTATGGATAGGGAAACTGAAGCATAGAAAAATATATGGGAAAGCTGACACATTCCTGATTCTCAAAGCTGGACAATGAGAGAACATAAGAAAGCTGTGCTGGTGCTTAATGACATTTCTTTCTATGAAGATACCTTCTGAAGTGTTAGCCCTGCAAGTATCTGAGCCATTGCCATTATCTCTGAAAAATCATGGAAGACGGGAGAGATTCCAGAAAAATGGAAAAGGACAAATATAGTGCCCATTTATAAGGGAAATGAGGACAGCTCAGAAGATTACAGACCAGTCAGCTTAACTTGTGCCAGAAAAGACAATAATTAAGAAATCTATTTGAAAAACATCTACATGATAACAAGGTGCTAAGTAACAGCATAGATTTGTCAAGAACAAATTATGTAGAACCAACCCGACAGCCTTCTGTGACGGGGAAACAAGCCTTGCGGACAATGGGGGAAGTGGTAGATGTGGTATATCTAGACTTTAGAAAGGCATCTGATACAATATTGCATAACCTTATTAAACTAGG